TCTTTGGCTTAGTTATTAGTTTGAATTGGAGATATAATTGAGAATGTGGTTTTAGTGAAAATTCAAAACGTTGTTGGGATAGTATTTCAAATAAAATAAAATTATTTTTACACCACCACTCCACAATTCTACTGCCGCCACCCGCCGCCAGACCACCCATTGCTGCCGCCGCCTCCGGCAATCGACCGGCCGGATTCCGGCGAGTTTTCGGCAACATGGCCTGAATTTGGCCGAATCTGACTGGCCAGTCGCCAGCCGGGCGCGGTGGCCCAGCTACGGCAGTGGGTAGTCCAGCAGCAGGCGATGGTGGTGGAGGTGTGGAGGTGGTGGTATAAAAATAATATTATTTTATTTCAAATATTATCCGAACAACTTTTTAAATTTACACTCAAACCATATTTTAAATCATATCTCCAATTCAAACCAAAAATTAAAATAAACTATTTTTTATTCAGATTTTCGCCCCCTCAATTTTCTTCCCTTTGGGCCTGCTGGGTTTTTTCTTCAACCGAATAAAAAATTGAAAGGTGAAAATGCAGATAAAAAATTTAGTTTGCTTTTCCTTTTATTTTAACAAAAAAAAATGAATTTTGAATTAGTTACTGTAGTGCGGTAAAATTTTAGAGTGATACTGGGTTAAAAATAAAACGTAATTAATATTTATTTTATATACACCATAAATAGATAAATAAAAAAAGTAATTTTTTAAAATAACGTAGTAAATTTTAAATTTTATATTAATTTTTTATATCAGTAAATAATGTTTTAACAATTAAATAATTAAATGTGAATTTTATAATATTTTTAATGATTTAAATTTAAATGAAAGTTCAAATTATATGAAAACACGAAAAATGCCCCTAATTCCATCAGGTTAACTAACGGTCAATATCGAGTTGGACGGGAAAGTGACCGAAATAGTGAAATGGGACCACGAAAGTGTGAAAACATAATGTTTGGGACCACGATATTGAAAGGTTAATGTTAGGAACGTAAATTCAAGTAACTCTAAATGTAAGGGACCATTTAGACATTTTAGTCCTAATCTTAAATTCACCTTGAACAACTCTTGTAGTATTAATGTTAAAAAAAAATTTGTGGAATGGTTAATCAGATCTATAATTTATATCAATTAGTCTCTATCAATCTTCCGTTTTCCTTCATAAATTGGTGATTTGAGTTGCTAAGGTTCTCCCTTTTCATCGTTTTTCTTTTTCTACCATTTAATTTTCTTCTCCATCTTCCCTTCCGTGAGAGAGGATGGGAGAGATAATTTTTCTCTAAATTTAGATTTTTTTTAATTGAATAAATTTAGTCCGTCAACATAGCTTTAATTTGCTAAACGTGTATTATTTGTTAGTAGATTTTGATCTAGGCAATTTATCCAGTATACCCGGAGGCACCATGCCCCTCTCCTATTTTTTACACTACTAGTCCTTACTACACTTTTTTCTTCTTTTCTAAATAAAATCTTATAATTTACAGGTTTAGCCCCTTTGATTTTTTTTCCCTCTCCTTTAAAAAACATCTCTAATCTTTAAACGACCATATCTCATGACCGTAAAAAATCAGAGAACGTATTTTCATGAAAATTATAGTACTCGTCGAGATCTATCCAACAAGATCCATGTCGAATATTTTTTTCGAGTTTAAAAATGACTAAATTTCGATGGGCAGAGTAAGATGGATATCTAGTTTAGAAAGATTGATAACCAGTTTGGTTTAGATTAAGATTCTTGTATTGCATATATATCTTGATCCGTAAAGAATTAGAATACGAATTATACATGAAATATATAATGCTTGACGAAATCTATCAGATAAGATCCATGTTGAATATTTTTTTTGAACTTTAAATGCATTTAAATTTTACGGGCAGAAATGAAGAAATGTGTTTTTCGTTTTTCTTTGAAAAATGGTTATCTGTTGTGTTCCTACTAATTATCCAATCGGTTTGGACTGATTATCCATTCTGTTTGTACTTGTTATCCAAACATATTTTTGACATTCACTCTTCAAAAAAAAAAGAAAAAGAAAAAATGATTGGATAAGTATTGCAAACAATTTGGATAATCAATAGAAAATAATTGGATAATCAGTGCAACACGTTGGATAATCTGTACAAAAAAGTTTGATAATCATTTTCATAAAAGAGCAAGGGAAAAAAATACTGGATAACCACCACAAAAAAGTTGGATAATCAATATGAACACATTGGATATCTAGTTTAAGAAGACGGATAACCAACTTATTTTGAATTAAGAAGTTGGATAATCAATATGAAGTGGATGGATATCCAGTACAAGCGAGTTGGATATCCGGCACAAACAAGTTGGATATACATACAAACCCGTTGGATTACAACTACAAAACAAGTTGGATAAACATATAAACCAAATCGATGGATATTCAGTACAAGCGAGTTGGATATCCATTTCAAACAAATGGGATATCCATTATAAAAAAGTTGGATAGACATATAAACCAAATAGATAAGCAGTACAAACAAAATGGATAACCAGTTCAAACTGATTGGATAATCAGCATGAACACAATGGATAACCAATTTAGAACAAATTAGTTATCCATCTTGTAAAACTGGATATCCACCTTTATTTTGCCCATCAAAATTAAGTCATTTTTAAGCCCGAAAAAATATTCACTATGGATCTTGTTGGTTAGATCTCGACGAGTACTATAAATATCATATATAATTCGTTCACAAATTTTTCACGGATTGGGAGATATGTTCGTTGAAAGATTAGAGATATTTTTTTTTGGAAGAGAGAGAAAAAATGGCAGGGACTAAACTTACAAAATATAAAAAAAAATGATAAAAAAGTACAATAAGAACTAGAAATGCAAAAAATATGAGGGGATACACGGTGCCCCCGAGTATACTAGATACAGACTCTTGATCTACTAGGTGTTAGTAGTTTATTAATAGATCTCTTCTACTGATCATTATTTAGTCCTTTTGTGATTGTGTGTGATCTTAAGTTCATAGTTTTTGTCATGATTGTACTTTTTGGAGACTTCATCTAATGATAAGTGAAGTATTCGAGATCAGAAATTTTCTTTGGTACGTGATACTTCCAACAAGTATTTGCGGACACTACAGAAGAGTCAGTGATTTAGTCGTCACCAGTAAAGACGATCGGTTGATTCTTAGAAATAGAATTCTAATTGATTGTAATATATCAGTGGTTGTAATCCTCTGTCAATTGTGGTTGGACGTTTTCCAACAAAATTAATTGAAGTATCTTTTGTCTAAAAAAAAAATTTTGTGGAATGATTAGACAAAACTATAACATGTACCTGTATATAATAGAAAATCCACAAATCTTAACTACGGCTAGAACACTACGATTATAGTAAAATTTCATTTGGCATAATATCAACCGTCTACTTTTGCTTAGAAAAGCCAACACTCAATATCAAAAGCACAATGTGGGACAAAATGTTACAAAAGTTTACAATCATGCATAGAACATTCTAAACTTATAGGACAAACTTAAACAATAACAATAGGTGGGGAAAAAAAATATTTATGCAACCAAATAAGAACAATTTTCCATTGATCATCCATTTAGCCCATGAAGTAGAGGAATAAAGAAATTGAAGAAGTATCCAAACACCAATGAGAAGAACCAAAACGCAAAAACTAGTTAGGTCATGATCAAGGTGCTGCCTTTTTGGTGCTTTTGGGAGCTTCTTGTGAGGGTTTGGAAAGCTCCCTTTTTTAATCTTTTTTTTGTCACCTTCTTCTCCCCCATAATGTTGTTATCGAGTGATCAATGATCTCATCATCTGATAACAGTTATTGCACTAATCAAATCAGCATTTTCAATGCATAAAATCACTCCTTCCCTTATCTTCTTTCCACTGATGTTCCATTCAGCCTTCTCTTTTGTCTCTTCTTTCATCATTTTCCTCCACTTTCAAAATTAACAATGGATTTTTAACAATTGCTTCGTATTATATTAATTTTGTTTCATTCCAGAACAGGGAACTCTGTTTTTTTTTTTTTTCAGTTTTTCATTTTCATTAAACTAACAGGTCAAAATCTTGTGCCTAGATTCTCATTATACAAAACCAATCATCCGTGCTTCTTAAGTTCTTCCTCCAAATTCTGGAACTTTTTTCATATCCCTCCAAGGAATCTTCTTGATTTTATTCTTTATGGGATTTTTCGATTACATAAACCCATTCAAGTTCTCAGGGTTTTACTCAATTTTGATTGCATAAAAGAGAAGTTTTCTTCAAGTATTGGAAGCTGAAACTGTGCAAAAAATGGGATTGATACTGGAACACTCATGAAAAGTTTTATGCTGTAAGGAATTTATCTCGTTTCCATTCTCTTTAAACATAATAATTCTTTAAATTGTGCTCAGTTTTATGATAATATATAGCTTTCTGAGATAGGACTTAGAAATAAACATCATTAATGGTTAACGGTGCTTGGACCTGCTGTTTATAACATCATTAATGGTTAACGGTGCTTGGACCTGCTATTTATGAAGGAATTTTGAATGTCTTCTAGGCTTGTGTTGTTTAATGTAATCTAGGATGGTGTTTGAAAAGATCAATTTCCTAAGAACCAGTATTCCATTATTGAGGAAGTAGTTATGGTGTCAATTTTAATACAGCCTAAAATATTGAGTTATGTTCAATTATCAATAGTACAGTTGTACCTTCCTCTTTATTTTATTTGTCATTTTGAACATGCATATATAACTATTGACTAAACTTTCTGGCATGGTTGAAATCTGTCAGAATCCACAAATTAATGTTTGGTCCAATAATTCAGAATTGACTGTATGATTGGATTACTTGTACTCTGCTGTCACTTTTACTTTCCTGTTTGAGTTGCAGCTAATGTTTGGTTTCATGTCTTCAGCTGCATAAAGGATGGGAGCCCATGTCAGTAATGGAGGTCCTTTCTGGATTTGTCTCCCTCCTTTTGATAACTAATTAGTTAGTCTTCTCCAAATTCAAGAATGGCCTCAAGATCAAATCTTTCTTCACTTGAAACTTTAGCCACATTCATAGTGTTTTTCCTGTTTTTCCTCCCAAGTCAGTCCCTTAATGTTGAAGTTCAAGCCCTCCTTGATTTCAAGAGTCATCTGGTTGATCCTCTCAATCATCTAGATTCATGGCATGATTCAGATTCGCCTTGTCTGTTTTATGGAGTTACCTGCGACAAGAACACTGGTTTGGTCACAGAAATTTCACTTGATGAGAAGTCTCTATCAGGGTTTATATCCCCATCCATTTCTGTACTCCAGAGCCTTACTACTCTGTGGCTTCCATCAAATGCATTATCTGGTGTTCTTCCTGAAGAAATAATAAACTGCACCAATCTCAAAGTCCTGAATGTAACTGGGAACAACATGAATGGCACCATTCCTGATTTATCGACGTTGACAAAGTTGGAGATTCTGGATTTATCCGTCAACTACTTTTCAGGGGGATTTCCGACATGGGCTGGAAGTTTGATCAACTTGGTTTCATTAGGCCTTGGCGACAATGATTATGATGAAGGTGAGGTTCCGGCTAACCTTGGAAATCTGAAGAACTTGACCTGGCTTTACTTGGCAGGTTCAAATTTGATAGGAGCAATCCCTGATTCCATTTTTGAGCTCCAGGCATTGGGAACTCTGGATATGTGTAGGAATAAAATTATTGGAGATTTTCCCAGGTCGATAAACAAGCTTCGAAATCTTTGGAAAATTGAGTTGTACCAGAATAATTTGACTGGACAACTTCCATTAGAGCTGGCAGAATTGAGCCACTTGCAAGAATTTGATATCTCGTTGAATCAAATGCATGGTACAATACCTCCAGAAATTGGCAATCTGAAATACTTGACAGTTTTCCATTTGCACATTAATAACTTCTCTGGGGAGTTCCCTCCGGGATTTGGTGATATGCAACATCTCAATGGCCTTTCCATTTACAGGAATAGCTTTTCAGGACCATTTCCTGAAAATCTTGGCAGGTATTCGCCACTGAATAGTGTAGACATATCTGAAAACCAGTTTTCTGGTGGATTCCCAAGATACTTGTGCCAAAATGGCAACTTAGAGTATTTGCTTGCTTTACAAAATAATTTCTCAGGGGAACTACCTGACAATTATGCTGATTGCAAGGCGTTGAAAAGGTTGCGGATCAACCTGAATCAGCTCTCAGGGAATGTACCGGCAGGATTGTGGGCTCTTCCTTATTTAGAGATGATTGATTTCAGTGACAACAACTTCAACGGAACAATGTCTCCAGGAATTGGGGACGCTAAGAATTTAAATCAGTTGATACTGACCAACAATAGATTTTCTGGGAATATTCCAAAAGAAGTAGGCAGGCTGGTTTCATTGGAAAGGCTTTACTTGAATAACAACAGTTTTTCTGGTCTCATACCATCTGAACTTGGTGGTCTGAAGCAGATCTCTTTTCTTCATTTGGAAGAGAACTCACTTAGAGGATCTATACCAGTGGAGTTGAGTCAATGTTCGAGACTGGTGGATATCAATTTGGCGTCAAATCAGCTAAATGGAGTTATACCAAAGTCCCTTGCTTCTATGAGCTCCTTGAATTCCCTGAATCTTTCCAATAACCAACTGATAGGCTTAATTCCAGTTAATTTGGGGAAGCTGAAGCTTTCGCTATTGGACTTATCATATAATTTGCTGTCAGGATTTGTTCCATCTGACCTGCTAAGAATGGGAGGGGACAAAGCATTCAGTGGAAATAAGGAACTCTGCATCGATGACAGTACTCGAATCTCCATGAACTCGAGATTGGATGCTTGCAGTAGAAGGACTAATCACCAAAACATTATGAAAAGCAGGCTTTTCATTACATGCTTTGTACTATTCAGTGTAGTGTTGGTTTTGGCTGGCCTATTGCTAGTAAGTTACTGTAACTTTAAGCATGGCCAAACAGATATTGAAAACATGGGTGATGGAAGGAGACTAGATCCAAAATGGAAGCTTGAGAGTTTCCATCAAATCGAGCTCGAGGCAGATGAATTGTGTGATCTGGATGAAGACAATCTGATTGGAAGTGGTGCCACAGGGAAAGTTTATCGCCTTGATCTGAAGAAAGGTTGTGGTACTGTGGCTGTGAAGGAACTGTGGAAGGGTAATGCAGCGAATGTTTTGGCCAGAGAAATGGAAATTCTGGGAAAGATTAGGCATAGGAATATTGTGAAGCTTTATGCGTGTCTTAGTAGAGGAGGATCACATTACTTGGTACTTGAGTTCATGGAAAATGGCAATCTTTTCCAAGCACTTCACAGGGAAATCAAGATTGGAAGGCCAGAATTAGACTGGTCGCAGAGATACCGAATTGCACTTGGAGCTGCAAAAGGAATTGCATACCTGCACCATGATTGTTTCCCAAGTATCATTCACAGGGACATCAAATCTACCAACATTTTGCTCGACGAGGATTATGAAGCAAAAATTGCTGACTTCGGCCTTGCAAAAGTTGCTGGCGCTTCACGGACTTCAGAGTTCAGCTATTTTGCCGGCACTCATGGTTACCTTGCACCCGGTAAGTGTGATTACTGTCGACTGAAATATGGATTTCTTCCAGTGAATTTCTTTGTAAATGTCTGGTTCATTCTGTGCTTACACATTTCCTGCAGAGATGGCTTATACACTGAAAGTAACCGAAAAGAGTGACATATACAGTTTTGGTGTGGTACTACTAGAACTGATAACTGGTAGAAAACCAATCGAGGATGCATTTGGAGAAGGAAAGGACATAGTCTATTGGGTATCCAGTCATCTCAGCGATCGAAAAGACATTCTCAAAGTTCTTGATCCTAAGATAGCCTGTGATATTGTTCAAGATGACATGATCAAGGTGCTGAGGATTGCAACACTTTGCACTGCTAAGCTACCGAATCTGCGGCCGAGTATGAAGGACATTGTGAAGATGCTCATGGATGCTGAGCCTCTCGCATTTAAGTCCATAGATAGCTCTGATACAGATGCAAAGCTTGTTTTGTAAATTGTTTTATGAGTTGCCTTTTTCTGGTTCAGGATTATAGCTATTAAGACAGCTCCCAAGTAGACAATGTCCAAGTAGTATTCATAAAATTACAAGTACATCATAAATGTTTAGCACATTGTAAAAGCTGTGTGATAAGTTAGATGTTTCAAACATTGTATTGGTCCTAGAGAATTGAATTTTCCTTCTTCCCTAACTTGCTGCTTGTAGTTATTTCCAGAAAGCAGAAGATATTCAACCATACGTGTCCGAGAATTTTCACATGGAAAATACTCCAAAATTCTTGGTACCAAGAGTATCAAATGATAATGTTTTATAATTTCGATAAATGAAAAATTATCGACCGTGAACACTCTATAATATGCAAAAAGATAAATGAAAAGTTATAGAGTCGTTAAAATATATACCAAGATGAGATAATGAGATATGTATTGACAAAAATCATCAAAATTAACCATTTGGAAGGATATATCACCAAATAAAACTCTTGACAGTGACGGTTTTATCTGTACGGCCAACGTATGTCAAAGAGATGGGACTGGAAATAATGCTTCACAAATCATTTTTTTAAAAAAAAAGGAAAAGAGATTGGACATAATGAAAAGTAAATAATTATGATAAACGTCACATGTTTGATCCCTGAATTTGACCGTATTATACGAGCACATCCTTCTGTTTCTATACTTTTGAATTTGGACCTTTTTCTTTTATATGAGAATGACAACTTTGGTCAGCCAAGCACAACGCCAACATAGCTAACCTCCTAAAATGAAAGTTCATTAAAAAATAAGATAAAATAAACAAAACAAAACGTAGCTACACTCCTAAGAGCGTTGCACTTATTTCTATTAAGTTCACAGACAGACAGAGTCCGATCGCATTGAAGGCATTATTAACCATTTTTATTTTTGTTAAGCATATGTAACATAAGAATGATTTAACACTGTTAACCTTGTTTCTAAGAGCATCCAAAACGATCATATAATCTCAATGTAATGTATCCCTAACTCTATTGGAACAGTCGTACAAATTTTCTACGCATAAATAAATTTGTACACGCAAAAATAATTTTTTCAGCTTAAAAAAATCAACTTAGACCCAGATGCAGAAAGAGAAAGAAACAAAATAAAAAATCGTAGACCATAAACTCATTGGAGATATCCTATTTAGCTTGCGTCACTTGAGCTGAAGGCATGCTCGACTAAGATCCACTTGATGAAATTGATTGTTGCCAGTAAGAAAGAATTCAGGAGGACTAGATTTATCAGTATCACAACGAAAAGAACCGATTATGTAACATAATCAACGTAGAGGGACTAAAACTACCATTTTCTCCTACTACTAAAGTCAAAATCATTTTCTATAATTATTAGTCCAATCTAATAATTCTGACCAATTCACACGCACACACGCAGTCTCACTTGTTCTGTCCGCTCCGCGAGGCTTCTCCGAAGTCCGACCGACGACTTGGTCTGTGGTCTCACAAACACTCCATCTCCAGCCGCGTTTTTTTCTTTTCCAAGCGAATCATCAACCAAGGGGAAAAAAATAAATAAATAAATAAATAATCCTACACCTTAAAAATCACAATAAAATATTATTCCAAGATGTTCAAATGCAATCCAAGAAAATCAAACCAAGTATCTTTCTCATCACCATGAAAAGTTCTTCAGCCTCACTAATTTCATGGCGATTCTTCATGAAACACCCTTCCATTTCTTCACTCTAGTTCTCTTCTTTCTCTTTTCTTCACTTCCCTTAATCCATTCACTTTCCACTGTTTCAATTTCTCAAGTTGGCAACCATACGTTAATCTGTGCATTGATTCAAACCTCTTCCCTTGAATCTCATCAGCCTTCTTCATACCTAAACTGTACTAGTTTCCCTCAGGGTGTTCAGGTTCCTGTGAATCCTTCCTTCAGATCATTCACAGAGATTGTTGGTGGAAATGGGTTTGTATGTGCTTTGAGTTCATCTTCTTCCTCCAATTCAATTATGGTCTGCTGGAGATTCTCAATAAATGGTAATAGTACTTATAAGAGGATTTATACTGGTCCTCGAGTGGAAGAACTGGATTCTGGAAAATCCCACATTTGTGGTCTGATTGACGGTAATAGCACTAACTTGTTGGAGTGTTGGCAGTCGCAGAACTTCCGTTCAACTGGAAACAGCTCAATTGCTTCAAATGTTGCTGTTGGAGAAAATTTTGTTTGTGGTCTGTCGAAATCAGGACAACTTCAGTGTTTAGGAAGTTATACTAATGTTACGGATCATGTCCCGGCGGGAAATTACAGTGTCGTTGCAGCCGGTTCTCGCCATGTTTGTGCCATATCCACTGAAGGTAGTGTTGAATGCTGGGGAGATATGGTAGGAGTGAAGCCTTCTGGAGAGTTCATAGCGCTGGCATTGGGTGATGATAGCAGCTGCTTTTTGAGGCTTGATGGGAAAGTGTTCTGTTTTGGAGCAAACAATTTTAGTCTGCCTAATTATTTACAGGAGACTTTGTTTGTATCCTTGGAGGCAAAAGGGGATGTCTTTTGTGGTCTGACAATGGCAAACTACTCATTGTATTGCTGGAGAAAAGATGGCAGTCTGAGCTTGAATTCGGCTGTTTTCGAGGATGTAGTTCCGGGCAAGTGTAGGAAACAGTGCCCTTGTGATCCTCTGCCAAATTACGGAAGATATTGTAGTCAGGGGATGATGATTTGTCTTCCCTGCATCGGAAAGCCAGCGGCATTGCCTCCATCGCCGCCCTCGCCATCACCAGAATTGGTTTCAACACCTCAAACAACCACAAATGGTGGAAGTTCAAAGTGGAACAAGAAAATGGTGGCATTTATGGTTGTTGGTTGTTTTGGTTCTCTGTCACTGGTAATAGTCCTCTGTTACTTGGTTTTGAAAAACTGCAAGATGAATAAAAGATTGAGCCGCCGTGTCCATGATTCGGGTCCAATGGATGATCCTGCCCTAGCTCCGCGACAACCGGTAGCAGCATTGGACAAGAAACTAAGCCAAATGATTAGTATGGGGAGCCCTTTGGAAGAATATTCTCTAGAAACTCTGCTGGAAGCCACAAATAGTTTCTCAGAGGAGCACAAGATTGGCACTGGAAGTTTTGGTTCGGTTTACATGGGAAGGCTGCCTGATGGCAGTGAAATCGCCATAAAGAGAGCTGATATCTCATCAGCTACACTACAAGATCATGCAGTCGGCCGAACACAACGTTGGCAAGAAGACAAGGACAATGCATTTGTTAATGAACTCGAGTTCATGTCGCGCCTCAATCATAAGAATCTAGTCAGACTTTTGGGGTACTGTGAAGATTCGAATGAGAGGGTTTTAGTCTATGAGTACATGGACAATGGCACACTCTTTGACCATCTTCACAAGATGGAATCCTCTCCAATAAGTTCATGGGCAACAAGAATCAAAGTAGCCCTTGATGCAGCAAGAGGGATTCAGTATCTTCATGAGTTTGCAGTGCCACCGATCATCCACAGGGATATTAAGTCATCCAACATCTTGTTGGACACCACCTGGACGGCTAAAGTATCCGACTTTGGCCTGTCATTGATGGGGCCTGTTGATGATGAATCACACCTCTCATTGAAAGCAGCAGGTACAGTCGGCTACATTGACCCCGAATACTATCGCCTTCAACGGCTAACAACAAAGAGCGACGTTTACAGCTTTGGGGTTGTTCTGCTGGAACTCCTATCAGGGTACAAGGCCATTCACATGAATGAGAACGGCGTTCCAAGAAATGTGGTCGATTTTGTGGTTCCGTATATAGTTAAAGACGATGTTCACAGGGTTTTGGATCCTAGAGTGCACCCTCCAACACCGATCGAGATAGAAGCAGTTGCATATGTAGGATATCTAGCTGCAGACTGTGTAACATTAGAAAGTCCAGACAGACCCACCATGACAGAAGTTGTAAATAGGTTAGAACGAGCCTTGGCTGCTTGTTTGGCGTCACCAAATGTGTCCCGGTCCACCTCCACTACCCCTTCCGAGTAGCTTCAATCAGCTGCTAACAAAAACTGTCAATATACCAGACAATTTTTTTTACATAGGTCTGCAGATTGATTGTCCTGTAACATTTTGTAAATCAAACATAAGCTACATTGTATATTCTTTCATTCAAAATATGAGTTGTTCTTAAGTTCAATAATTCCTAAAAGAAGTTGACTAAGGATCGCTGATGATCTTTTATTCAACAAGCATGAGTCATGTCAACACTTCAATAATTAAGTTTCAGAACTAAGAATTGGGAAATGGTGAACTATAGAGGCTGGAGCTGAAGCCATATTTTCAACTCATATTTATTTATTCGGTCAGTTATGGTTCCTGGAGAACAGCATTAGGTTTTACTAAGTCAAAAATGCAATAATAAGAGTCAGGTCAGGAGGAAGGAAAAAGTCAGCTGTAGAAGAACTGTCGTCATCAGAAGGCAAAGTAAACTACTAAGCAAAAGCCTAGAGAGTTGAAAATTTGAAATGCACAGATGACTGCAAATTCCTTCCCTTAGTGCACACTGGATGATGACTTAAAGCTTAAATAATGGCTTAAAAGCAATTCAAATCCAAAAGAAATCAACGGGAGTTCAAAGTAATAGAGTATCTGAAATCTGCTTTGACCTTTTTCAGGGTTAGATGTAACAATCTCCATCCAAGCTTACCAGCTCATTGCCCGTAGGGATTTCCTTACCCAGTTTGATAGTTATGAAGCCGAAACATATGAGATTTTCTTAGTACATAATCATAACAAATACTGTTCGCCTTGCCCTAAAACATAAGATAACCTACATAAATTCATCCTCGCTGCAGAAGAAATAAATGTAAAACTTGCTAAAGTACTCTCATTTAGTTGCAGGAACTTCATTGCAGACACTGACAAAATCACTCTCCTGTTCTTTAAGAGCATTACATCAAGAAAGCTTTGGAAGTTCAAGAGAGATGTAGATGTATACAAAACAAAAGGGATCCTCTGTCATCAACTGGATCTAGTCAGAAGTCAAAATAATACTTGAGTGGTCTTCTTTGTCTACATATTCAATTAAGCCATTCAAATTATATAGATGCAGAAGTTTTTGCTTAAACTATCAGGTTCCTAACCACAGCAAGTGACAGCAACCATTTTTAACAAGCGTTTTACTCATCCCTTGCTTCTTGCATACTTGTTAGATTTTGAGAATTTTCTTGTTGAATGATTTCAGATTTGGTTTTGTTGTGTTTGTTGTGTTTATGATATCTTTCCTGTAGTCAATTACTTGCAGTAGAAAGTTTATCTTGTGTAGGAAGTATGCAAGTGGTAAAAGGATGGTGATCCTTAGTTTGTGGACTGTGCTGGAGATAAAAGCAAAGTTGTGTACTGTTGGCATTGACCAAACAGTATACAGTTAGTTCCCTTTTGTATTATAAATATGAATGAATGAATGGAATATGTGTGAGTGTTTTTCAGCAGAAAACTTACCTCTATTCTTCTTGTTTATTCTGCATATTCTGAAAATATGAAAATATTTTGCTTCTGCAACTTTGTTCAATACTCCACACTCTGTAAAATTCCATGAAAATATCTCTCACCGCTTATTTATGCCACACTCAGATTACATGAATATGCTGAAAGCAGAATTCTAATCAGACTCATCAAATAAGACACTGTTTGCAGTCATTATTCTTACTAACTGCCTCCTAACAAGCCAAATGAGACAGATTCAGGAATTGCTATCTGATTTGGCCTAAAAGTCCCAGCTATCAAAGGCACTAAAAACAAAACTGAAATCTCTCATAAATAATTTCAAAGTTCTTTTTGGGCAAATAAAACGTTTTTTCAATAAATATCTTGTACAGATTGTTAGTTCTGCTAAGAACTACAGTGAGAAAGTATAGTCTCTGATAGAACATAGAGGATGCAATGTACATGTTTGGATCCTTGGCGTATGCATAAATCTTCAAACATGTAGGTATAAGGGAGGAACCCATTGATGGTATACGTTTTAAAAATAAATAATTAAAGAATTAAAAAGCATCCAGTGTATTCTTCTTTTGTCTTTTATCACCTGGCAAAATCCTAGTTCTCTTTTACACAAACTCTCCCAGAAACTGAATTTTATGCTACAGCAGATCCCATCTTTTCTGCTCTTTGCGCCATTAGATCTGATAATGCAGTATCAATCTGCTCAAAGACAGCCTCTTTAGAGACACTTCCATCCACCTGCAATCACAGGTGAGAAAATTGGTGTCCAAAATCATTACTAACTATTTGCAGTCACACACGAGTCATGATGAATAGAATTCTCTCTCATCCTCACCAAAACAAAAATAGACTACAGTGAATTGAATTATCATTTTCAGGCATATAGAACACCCACAAGATAGAACTAACCTACCACACAGTTAAGTAGGTAAGAATACATCAACACAGAAAATAATTCACTAGCAAAACTTTATGACAAATCCTTCAATAATAGTTATTACTAATCAATTCACTGTGGGAGGAGGAGTTTCAGTTGAAACTACACAACCAGACAGGAATTTAGGAGATGCTTGATAAAAGTTTTCAATTCCGTTCGAAGAACCTTTACAGCCCTTGTCAAAGGATTAAAAAGTTCCTCAATTTCAGTAGATTACCTTTATTGTAATATCTTCATATATTGAGAGCACTGATTCCACATTTTGATGATGAGTGCGCAAACGCAATTTAACCTAATAAATTGGTCATAAGAGATACAGTTAGTCTATACAACTTTACAGGCAAACATAGTGAAAGATGAAATAAGGAAGTGAACTTCTGTGTTTATCTAACAACCAAGTCAAAGCTGTTTATTAAAGAAACAGACACTTGGTATGTGGCCAAACATACCTTTTCTTCTGTATCATCAAAACGCTGAGTAAGCCTCGCAGCAATTTCTTCAGTCTCCGGAGGAGAATATTTTAAATGGTATATCTTGCCTGTAACGGGATCTAACCTACGACCAACTACCCTCTCGACTAGGATCTCTTCAGGTACCTGCAAACACCACATAATTTTGCCATTATGAGATTCTATCGCTATGATGATATTTCTAAGGTCCCAAGTTCACAACAGCAAAAACATGCAAGAAAATATTGAAAAGTTTGGCATAAGCAAAATTTCATGTTCAAGAATGGAACCGCAAATGCACAAATGAAGAAAGAGAAAAACTTCCAGAATGTCTATCACTGCTCTTTCAGTAGCTAGCCCTTTTACCAAACCGCCATATTACCCATCTAAAACACATCTTTGATACTTCAAGTCATGTCGCCTCCCACCAAAAGAAAAATAAAAGATTAGAAAGACATAGTTATACACGCATGCGCACACACCCACGCACAGAATACACCAAGTGGCGTGCGAACTCCCATTCCCAAACTAAAAGATTGTTTTACCAGAAAAGATTTTCACTGTTGAAAGTACCTATTTTTCATTGTAGGGCTAGAAAGAAGCGGAGAGGGAGAATAGGATGGTGACAGTAAAGTAAACAGTAAGCTTCACGAAAAATGCCAAGACCTTTAACCACTAGGCTGAATTTGATTTTCAAGTTCTTTAAGTTTATAGTGAAACACTGAACACTTACTTCAAGGAGTATGAAGATATCGGGATGAAAACCAAATCCTTTAAGAGCAGTCGCCTGTGATAAGCTTCGAGGATATCCATCTAAAAGCCAACCCTTTTCTGTGGAATCAGGCTCCATCAACCGATCTTTCACCATCTGAAATGAAAGAATGAAAACAACTTGACGTCCCAAGCGACAAGATGAAACATCATGTGAATAGTCCTTCTTGGAACGAAAAAAAGAATCTAAAAATACCATGACAACTATTTCATCTGGGACCAATTGTCCTATCTCCATGAATTCCTTTGCTCGCTTTCCATTTTCGGTCCCCGCTGCAATCTCAGCCCTCAAAAGATCTCCAGCGGCAATATGCACCAAATCATACTGCACATATGAGGATGACTTCATTCAATCTGTTATTCTTCATGGAGTGATCACAATGAGATGCATCAATCATGTTGGAGATTTTTTAAGTGTGGAAACCAAAATGTGAAACATGCATACACAGGGTGAAATACCAGAGGTATCAATCTTGATTTCCAATTCAATTTTATGTCAAATCTACATACATATAGTGCCATAGCACAGTGAGCATCTTCTGAAGTTCTTTGATCATGTTAAAATTTTGAAGCACGGAAAAAGGACTCAACAGACAATTACATGCATCAACAACACCTTGAAAACGAGTCACTTCTAGGTAAAATCTGTAAACTCTGAAGCTCACTTTCCATCAACCCAAAACCAATAATTATTAATCAGCAAACATAGCAACTAAGCTCACATTCTTCATCCATGTCATTGAAAGACTTTACATACCAAAATGGAAGGCTAGTGACTATAAACAACTAAATGGAAGAATAACATAAGCGGCTAATGCAATTTTAGAATATTATTACAAGAAGCATCAAATTGTCGCTTAATTATACTGCATTTTGAAATAATTATTATTACCAGATCTTTCCAGGCAATGATGTTTATCGTTATATAGGCAAGCAAATATAGCATGCACGCAAAGTACTCTGTTTTTTTTCTTTCATTTGAAAAGACCACCACATTTTCACAGAACAATAACAAGCTTCATCTCAACATATAAAAACAAGGAAAGTCAATGCGATTGGAAACATGAAGCACAAAACATATCATTTTGACAGCTGCAACAATCGCCTAATGAATACACCTTTTAACTCATACAAAGACTTCACCATTCAAATTACAATTCTTTCTACTATATTGAATCAAATTATCCCTTTTACTGCAGCTCTTTTCAGAAGGCAAACTTCTACCTTTATCATCTCGACATTCAGATTCAGCTTATTGACTACTACTACAAACCAAGCACGATAAAGATAATTTTCCAATTGAACTCATGCTAGAGCATTACAAACATACAATAATGTTTTCCCCCTCGGTGACAGGGACGTCCCATACTTCATAATCTTTCCCCCAAAAAACACAAAAAACTCTTACTGCAATTTCATCATAAATTATCCTATTGGGAAATAATTTGTAAAGCCCCACACACCTTTTTCTTTATTAGCTCACACTGAGTTCCTTTCCCAGAAGCCGGAGCTCCAGATATCATAATCTTCAATGGCTCCCGATTCTTTTCTACAGCTGTCAACGTCGACGCCATAACCTATATTCAATTTGATTAAGCTAAGCATATGGAAAACCCAAAAGAAAATTCCAAAATAAATAAATAAATCAATGTCCAATAAAAGGCTCCATTTTTTAGAGCTTACACGGAAACTATGAGCGTTGGGCGGCGGAGCTGGAGTTGACCGGAGGCGTAAGACGGCGGAAGATGAATTGCTGTGGAAGCGAAGGAAAGAATTGGCTTGAGCTGGAACAGGGGAAGCTAAGGGATTGTTTGGCTTAGAATGAGAATTGAAGAAGGTTACTGAAGAAGAACAGCAAGAAGAAGCCATTGTTTGAAAAGCTTTACGGCTTCTCCTTCTTTTTCTTCTTCTTCTTCTTCAGTTGCCGTTTAAGAAAATTTGAGGGATGAATTTTTGAAGGTTTTGCAGTCGCCAAACAAGGAAGAACTGGAGAAAGGCCTCCGACGTGGCTTTTTTTCTTCATTTTTATGTTTTTTTTTTTCTGTGGAAAGAATATTTTTTTAATGTCATTTTTAGCGTGATGCACGAGACGCAGCAGCCACAAATGAAAATATTCTTGGTATTAGTACGTTTTTTTATTCCTTTTAGTGTTTCTCTATATATTTTCTATCTGTCTCACAATTTATTGAATTGAAGTAGTACTTCTTCGATCTCACATCATAATTTAGAATTATTTTTTAAAAAAAAAAAACATATAGATTATATCAAAATTAATTATTAGAATAAGACGATGAAGGCATCTATATATCCATCATTAATTTGATTCTTATGCAACTTGGTCTTTCTTTGAAACCAAAGTCTTGGTTGGCTCTTGAATCTTGATTCATTCCATAATCTTCCCTTGCAATCTAATTTGAAGTGTTTAATGCCATGAGATATCAAGATAAATGTGATGCCTGTCACGCAATTTAATGTAAATTTACTAGTGCTTGTTTGGACGTCAGTTTTATTTTCATTTTCAACTTGAATGTAAAAAATGTTTTAAGTAGAAAACATAATGGAAGATAAAAAAGTTGTTTGGATGGTATTTTAGCAAAAAGTTGTTTGGATGATGGTTGAAAAAAAAAATTTAGGAATATATATTGAAATATCAAATAGGAAAAATATCACTAAATAATCAAAAAGTGTCAATTTAGTCAGTGTAAAAAAAGAAATTAAAAAATATCACTAAACAACGAAAAAGTGTCGATTTTGGTTCAACACTTTAAAAAAAAAAAAACTTTTTCAATACATATAAAAAAAAAATAGAGGGAGTATTAAACATTTTAAAGCAGTCACACTCTATTGTCATAACGTTTTAAATTATGATCTTATCTATAGTACTTAATTAAAGCAGAATACAAGCTGCTGATGTGTCAGCACAACAATGAAAATTTTTGCGCCAAACGTCATTTTCAGTACAAAATCATTTTTTACATGTGGCACTCTAACTATTTCAGAAAAAAGGATGGAATAAATAAATCCCAAAATTATAGTTCCATACCAATCCCTTAATTATAACTATATACTAATCCCTTAAAACAAGAAACTTGAGTTGATAAAATCACATGTAAAAAAATCTCTTTAAATCACATGAAATATTACTGGGAGTAACGTCTCCCTAATCTCCATAAAATAAAAAATAGTTAAATGAAAATTGTCTCCAGCATACAATTGGCTCAATCAAATATATAATACCTCAACCAAGTAGTTTACTTAATGTAATACAATTGGCTCAATGAAAATGAAGGCGATCCCCTTAATATTTTTGCTCCAGCAGCCAATTGGCTCAATTAAGATAACATCAATCTTTAAAATTTGACTTAAAACCTAACAATGGAAAATCCAAGGAAATTCCTTCATGCTATCACGAGAGATCAAGACCGGGGGAGCAAAAGATGATCAGCTCTCCATTATAGCAATTAGGATATTGTATCCAATGATTCTACCATCGAATGTTTATTTGTTAGTTCAAGAGATATTATCTCAATAGTATTATAATTTGTTCTTACCCGCGGGTAAAAAATAAAAGTTTTTTTTATACGATTAGGAATGTATAATAAAAAAAAAGAATACAGAATTCAATGTTATCGTGAAATGTGTTATAATATTATATTATACATATTATTACTCTAAAATATACTTTTTTCACTTGTAATTTTTTTATTTAACAATTTTCAGATACAATGTCCAGGGCAGGCATGTAGTCGGTTATTTATACACGATAATCATGAAACTTTTAGCAACTTGGCAAATGAGTCCGGCCTATTAATTAACTTTTTAAAAAACAAAACTGAAGTTAATTCCTTTACTGATCACTATTTCTTCTTTTTTTTTTTTTTTATCGACCTCAAAAATCAAAAGAAAATGATTTTTCCTTCTAAATATATGGGCCAAGGCCGCCCTCACCCAGTCCATTAAAAGAACTCAATGCCCAACTTATTATTTCTAGCCCAAATAGATGGCTCCTCCGTTTGCTGATAGTTATTTCTGAGTGTTTCTCCTTTCCCCCAAAACTGTCTGAAATTTGTTTCCCCTAAAAATGTATCGACGTTCATCAACCCATCTCCGGCGATTGTTTTCCGGGCACTCTTCAGTACCCAAATCTTCATCTTTACCGAAACCCTTTACGTCTGTATCAATTCAGAGCTCCTCGGAAGCATTTTCGGTCTCGATTCCTTGGAGAAACCTTCACTCGGTTCAGTCATTTAGCTCTAGTTGCTCGTCGTCGTCGACGGAATACATTAAGAGATTTCAGAATATCAGACTTTACAGTGTTGAAACTGACAGAGAAGTCGACAAAATCAATCTCAAATTCGCAGAGGCAAGGGAGGAGATAGAATCCGCCTTGGAATCTAAAGAGACTGTCTATTTCGATGACGAAGCGGGCTGCGCTCGGGATGCCGTTCATGAGGTTTTGAGTTTGTATGAAGGGCTTTTAGCCAGGTTGCCGGAGAGTGAGAAAGGAGCAATTCAGAGGTCAATGGGGCTGAAAATTGAGCAATTGAAGGCCGAGCTTGCACAATTAGACGAGTAGCTGAGGTGGGATTAAATTACTTAATTTGGATTTTGGTTTTAGCCTATTCTTCGATATCGATTCCGAAAAAACCTGTATTCTATGGATTAGAAGCCATTGTTGGCTGAATTTTTTCAGTACTCTGTGATCAGAATATATGATTTAATGGAATAATGTATTTGTAGAATCTTAATTATCTTCTATATTGTTCTGATGAGAAATGGGAGTTCTCATTTGAGCTTATGGTTTAGTGTCAAGCCTGCCTTAATTTACTTTTAAGGCTATTGGAAACTATTGTGTTTGCCTTTTGTTGTGGTTTTATATATCAGAAAGGGCATGGCTATTTAAAGTTTCGAGCTTGAATCGAATGTGTAATTGTGTATTGACAGAGAAAATGGAGACCATGATTTTTTTAAGCTACCTCTTTAGGAGTGGGATAAAGGATTTAACTATTTGGTGCTATTGTCTATGTTTCATGTTCAACTCTCTGATTCATCTCTCTATGGTAGGCTATCATGGGTTGCCTATCTGATAAATGTATCATCCATTTACTGTCTTTTAGTTTCTCTTTTGAGGGGTTTATATCAGTGGTTCTGTTGGTGAATTCTAGTGATTGTTTTGCTTTCAACTGCTGTGATTCGATCATGGCGAAGCATGCTCATATATGCATTATTTTCTTGGCTTCTGGACAATATGCTGGTTCCTTCCCATTAAGTATTTTGCCATTCTGAGTATTGCCTAAAAAGTAAAGACCATTCAAACCACCAAGAAAGTGCTTAAAGAATTACTAATGGAAACACTAAACAGTTTGAGAAAATAAGAAAAGGCTCACTGTTGTATGTTTTTCTAGATTCTTACCTGTTTTGGTGCATTGCCATGAGTATACAATCAGCCACCTCTTTCATCTCTTCATCTTTTCATGCATAATGGTGTTGCAATGAATCTATGATGCCTCATCATTACTCCATATACCGATATCGTTATACCCATCATGTTGTGTGTTGGTGCGGATGATGTTAATCTGTTGGAAGTTACAGAAGCTGGAACTTGTTACGCTACAGTAAAACCTTGTTGTGTTTGCGCCATGAAACTGAAGAAGGTTTGTCAGTGCCAATGTTATTCATTGCCCTGAGAAGTGCCACAAATTTCTTCATTGTTGGGTGTTCGACTGGTGATGATTCATACAGAACACCACTGTTTTTAATCCACCTTTTCTGGAAGCTCAGAATCAGATTATCTAAAGCTGGTTTTGAACCTTCCCATCTACTTGTTTCTCCCTAGTTTATTGTGCATCTCTGAAATGGAAATGTTGCAGCCATATTTTCTGTTATACGTGCCGTGCGTGCAGAAAGTGCTAAACTTTTTATCCCGTTACCTGACCTACTCAAGATTATTGATCTTCTACGCGAACTATATTATGCGAGAAAGCCAGACTACAAAGGGTGTAACTGTATAAGCAAGAAAGGAATACCATTTAGAACTGAACAAGGTCTCCTTATCAAGAGTATATATGCATATGATGTAGATTCCTTCTTACATTCACACAGCGTCAGGAGATGCTAGAATGAAAATGCATACGTGCAAAATAAACATTTACTTCAACAAAATAATGCACTGGTGCGTTTCTGTATAGTATCTAAGAGCAGGTGAATTGCACTGCAAAAGAAGTTTTATAGATTCAAATGGTATCGGGAACAACACAGACAACAGAAAGTGCAGAGGTCGAAAGATTTGATTCAGAGCGAACAGCTAGGTTGAAAAGAATTATACACTGATTCAGAATTCAGACCTAAGAAGAATACTGAAAGTTCTATACATTTTAAGCAGCAGTCAATAGGCCTAATGTACGTACATGCTTCGGAGCTAAGAACAGAGTCCGGAGTCCCTATTCAAATGCATCAGAGAGAGTGGTCATCACATTTCTTGCTTCTTTTCACTTCCACGAGAGAAGACAGTTAACATGGGGAAAGTAACAGAGACATTCCGAAAAGAATTTAGACTGCATTTCCAACTTTTGCATAACCTTCGAGTCCGAGGAGAAGTTGTAAGCATATAGACCGCCATCTCTATGCTTGAATATCATCATTTCACCACCAATCCTGGTAAAGTAAAGAGGAATCGGATCATCAATGCCCTTCACTGGAATTGTGTACTGCTTTGCCCAACTTTTACCAGATAAACTCTTCAAGCACCACACACCGAACCGGCACGATCCTTCTTCACGACCAACAAACCCGAGTTGCCCGCGAATTTCCACTATCCTATCCTGACTTGTAGTAGTTTTTGGGAGAGATATCTTCTGAAACTTCTCATCATCTAATGTCATGGATATTATGTACTCACCACAAGCCCTAAATGGAATCCAGTTTATAGCCCCAATCGCGAAAACTGGATGATATCCATACCAGGCATAAAGTCCAAATGAAGGTCCATCAACAGTTCTCCACGATTCTTCTCCAACTGTCAAGATTTCACATTCAGAGCGCTGCAAATCATTCCGAAACAAATGAACCAGTTTGAAGTGATTGCTGGAAGGGCAACGTGCAAGTCCATATGATTCACGATCATTATTAGTTATAGTACCTACAGGAAGTGCTAACAACTTCCTAGTAACAGGATTCAAGGCTACCAAACCTCCTCTTTTCCTTTTATTATCGACTATGATTAGGCCAGCACAACATGCTCTAATTTTCCCTTCACAGGTTGCATTGTACTCTTTTGTCTTGACCTTGAAATCCCGGACTTCCAAGAACTGGAGCTGAGGGAATGAGGTTGGATCAACAAAAGGTTGGTGCAGTACAGGCATCGATTGCAACCGGAGAAGCTCAGATTCAACAGAAAAAAAATTGGTCTTTTCTTGTAACTTGTGTTCAGAGGAAGGAGGATTTCTCCGAACCAGACAAATTAGTCCAGTTTCAGTACGTTCCAAATATTCTCGAGTAAATATATCAGCGTTTATAGTCTCGTTCCATGTCTTGCAAACCAACATTGCTTTGGGAAGTGATTGAAGAGGCAGTCGAACAAGTATATTTGAAACGCACTCTTCTGGAATATACCTCACCTTCTTCTCTAGCTTCCTCTTTGATGCTCTTTCTTTTTCTAGCTTTAGAAAGTTGATTTTGTCAGCCATTGATATTCAGCAGAAAACTCCACAACACCCAGAGGGTTCCTGCAAGGCTTCATCATCAAGATTGAATGTCACTAATCATATATTACAAAGTTTGAAAAATACACTTTGCAAGTCCATCTCAAATTGTCCTAATCAGGACAGAAAGACAAAGTCGCTATTTGCAAGTCAAGCATAAAGATTCTTTATTCCTAATCAAGAATATTATAGCACAGAACTCATAAAATCTTCTAAATGTTATCATCAACACCAAAGATTCTTCGTTAATCCTTTCCACCCATGAATTTTCAATTAGCAATATATTGACCCAAGATCACCACCTATCAGCAACTAAGCTAGGTTAAGTCCACCTTAACAGAATCCAATCCATCTGGAGTTGATCACTAAAAATCAAAACTAAGGGAAAGTATAAGGCAGAAAGATGAATGGCCCATATGCACTGCCATTTGAGTCCAAAATTCTGTTGTTTTCGTCGCATCATTCAATTTAAAACTAAAACCTTTTCATATTTCCGACACGATTCTTTCATCAATTTGAACCAAGACCCTGATGATGCTAATGGGATGATGTCCTATTAGATTGGAAACCCAAAACCAAAACATAATCTCTGAAAAAAAAAAATGAAAGACAAAACAACAAGCAATTCTAGAATTGACCCATCTTATCAGAACAGAGTTTAACGTGATCACGCCAACTTTCAACAGATTTTCTTTAATCCCACAAATTAGTACAAACAAATTGATGAAGAACTCTCCTGAAACTGTCGATTCCTGCTGTTATGAAGCAGCAGGTATCATCATTGGATTACTGTAATCTTGAACGCGAAATATGGTTCATAATCCTATCAACCGAAACACTACCAATGAAGGGCCTGAATTCATCAAGCAAATCAATCTGAAAGTAATATTGATCACGTAAAATTGTCATGATTTTTCAACAGAAACACTAAAATTTAATACCCAATTTCATCAATTTCAACAATTAGTGAGTTCTTGATCACGAGAAATGGTGTTCACCAACTTTCACAAGAAACAGAGAAACACAAAATGCCCATATCAAGAAACTGCATTTTTCGAAGAAATTATACTTACAAGAAGGAAATGAAGCTCAAAAAGTGATCCTTTCTTCCCGAGTCTCGAACAAGATTAAGCTTTCTGCGGCGTCACTCAGCTCAGTTCATCAACTTTGTGGACTTGCTACCGGCAGTTCTTTCTTTTTGTTTTGTTTTGGGTTTTTCTTTTTTTTTTTTATGGGAGAAAAATAGATTTATATAGTTTTAACTTTGGGTCAAAAGATCAATCGAGATTCGAGTTTTAACTTTGGGTCAAAAATCAATCAACTTATTTTACATTTTAACTAATTTTACCTCTTAAACACAAAACCCAATGGAAAAGAAAACATCATCCAAACAACTTTCCGATTTACATTTTAAATTCCAACTTGAAACATTTTTTATTAGTGCAATGACCATTTTTTGAAAAAGAAGTAGTTCAGTGACAAATTTGGCAGGATTCCGTTGTTGAGTGATTGTTTTTAGAAAAATTCTTTTTTGCAGTGACTATAATTAACAGTATTTAATTGTTTAGTGATGACTTGTAATTGATATTTCAAAATGTAGTTTAAAATACTTTTTTTCGAAATCAAAATCCAAACAACATTTTTATTTCCCATTTAGTTTTCAGTTTGAAACACTTTCCACTTTTAAGTGGCAAAATGAAATGTAAGTTGACGTCCAAACAAGCACTCAGCTTTTTTTTAACGAATGAAAAGGGTCAGCTGTTTTTTCTTAAAACTAAAAATTTATGATTTACACCCTCTAATCAAATTTTATGCTTGAGTTCGCATACAAATTGCAGATTTACAGTTATTCTCACATCTTTAGGAAAGCTTGTACTTCTCATTTCCAAAATGATGGTTCAATAAAATGTATAAAAAAAGAATGTAGTATTTATTTACTAAGGGCAATATATCTTCATGACTTTCAATTTATTTTAGGAAAGTTTCTACTTCTCATTTTCAAAATGATAATGGTCCAATTAAATGTAAACAAAAAAGAATGTCGAGACGAAACGAATAATTATTTAGTTAGAGAAGTATATACATTGTACTCTCTCTGTCTCAAAATTATTGTTTAGTTTAAGATTTCACTTTTAGTACTATTTGAACTAAAACTGAAAATTCAAATTGGACAATAATTTTGGGACGGAGAGAGTATTTCATTACGTTCAATTTGTTTTTAGGAAAGTTTGTACTTATTTTCAAAATGATGGTCCAATTAAATGTAAGAAAGAAAATGTTAGGACGAACCGAGTTAGTTAGACCAATATATACATTGTATTTCATGACTTTCGATTTACTTTAGATATCCACCGTTTCACGTTGCATTCTTCTGCGCATGGTTTGAGCTTTTTTCCTCTTTTTTTTCCGCAAACACTTTGTTTCAAGATTCTTTCAAATAGGTTTGAGAATTAAATTGTTGTTTACTTTAGTTAACTCAGACTGTGAAATGATTTTCCAAGTTACTGATTACTTTGAGAGCGGTCTTCATTTCTAATTTGAACTGTGATGAATATTCTTTTTCTACTTAAAAAAAAAAAAGAAAAAAAGAAAAAATTGAACTGTGATGCATTTCTGTACATTAACAGTCTTAAATCAAGCTCCTTCAGGTGCCATGTATCTAAAAGCATATATACATTGCTCCACAAAGTATACATGAAATGAGTACAGTGAACAACACAGAAAAACAATAGCAATAACATAACATCGAGTACATGACCGAAAGCCTGATATGGTTCGGAGGGAAGAACAAACCTTATACACATGATTCAGAGTTCAGATTAAGAACAAAGCTGAGAGACGTATACACAGGATTTCGAGTTAAGCACGCAAGCGATAGAAGTTATACACATTGCTCCAGAGATTGGAGTGAAGTCCTCATTCAAATGCACCAGAGCATGCTAATCAAAACATATCTTGGTCATTTACCTTCAATGAGAGAAGACTGTTAACATGCGGAAAACAGCAGACATTTCGGGATATATCTTCAGCCTGAATTTCCAACTTATGCATACTCTGCAAAGAGCAGTTGTAAGAATATAGATGGCCAAATTTACACCTGAAAATCATTTCGCCGCTGATCCTGGTAAAGTAAAGAGGAACCAGTCCACGTATGCCACCCACTGGAATTGTGTACTGCTTCCGCCAAACTTCACCGGATAAGCCCTTCAAGCACCACACATCAATTTGCTTTGATTCTTCTTCATGACACACAAACCCAAGTTGCCCACGAATTTCCACAATCCTATCAGAAGTTCTACAACCTGTGGGGAGAAATATCTGCTGAAATTTCTCATCATTTGCTGTCATTGATACAATGTACTCACTATGATCAACAAACGGAACCCAATGAATAGCCCCGATGGCAACAACTGGATCATACCCGCACCAGCCAAAAAGGCCAAATGCAGGTCCATCAACCATTCTCCATGATTTGTCTCCAAGGGTCAAGATTTCGCAGCCAAAATATTGCAGCTCATCCCGAAACAAATGAACCAGTTTGAATTGATTGTTGGAAGGGCAATAGGCAAGTCCATATGATTCACAATGAGGAGGAAATATAGTACCTACAGGAAGTGCTAACAACTCCCTAGTAACAGGATTCAAGACTATTAAGCCTCCTCTTTTCATTTTATTATCAACTAAGATAAATCCTCCACAACATGCTCTGATTCTTCCCAGACAAGTTGCATTATACTCCTTGGTCTTAACCATGCCATCTCGAGATTCCATGAAGTGGAGGTGAAGCAATGAGGTTGGGTCAATAGAAGGTTGCTGCAATACTGGCACTGATTGCAACCGGAAAAGCTTAGATTCAACAGAGAAAGCATTTGTTTTTTCTGGAATTTTACGTTCGAAGAAAGGAAAATAAAGTTCCCTTTTTACTGGAACCAGAAAAATTAAGCTGCTTTCAGAACGTTCCAAATAATCTTTAGCAAATATAGGACTCTTGACAATCCGGTACCATGCCTTACAGACCAACCTTGTTTTTGTTAGTGATTCAAGAGGAAGTCGAACAAGTATCTGTGAAATGCACTCGTTAGGAATGTAGGGGATTAGACTCTCTTCTAGCTTTCTCTTATGATCCTCTAACTTCTTCCTTGCCGATGCTCTTTCTTCTGCTAGCTTTAATAAGTGAATGCCCTGGTTGGCCATAGAGCAGAAAAGGCACTAAACCAAGAGGAAAGCTGCAACATAAAGATTGTCAACATTTTAAGGTCGATAAAAAGACCCAAGAATAAGAAAGCATTACAAATTTATATAGTTAAAAAAATCCATTAACGTTTTCTGTGCTTCATAGTGACACAACTATCTCCCACCAGAACAGCATAAGCTACTAAATGCCTTCATATAATTTGAATATGCTATTATCGGCAGCAGAGAATAAGGAAAAGCATGAGACAACATTGCATTCCTAAGAATATGTAAACTGCTTTCAAATTGGATTTCCTTTTAATCACTAATACATAAGTCCGCCATTGTGAGGCGATCGAGGGACCAAGACCAAGCAATGCAAATTATGAAAGAAATTACTAACATTTGACTTATAAATTGAGCTGTGACTAAACAGTTTGTAAATTCAATACCATTTGCGGTCTATATGGAAGATATCAGACTCTAAATAACATCTTCATGCAACAACATGCATTTGCTGCCTCATAAAGTGGCACAAAACTATAAAGTGTCTCTAAATGTTATCATCAACACTACAAAGTTCATCGTCTATCCTTTTTTGCCGTTGCTTTCAATCAACAAGAGGTTATTAAAGATCACAGCTACCTAATTCACCTAGGCTAAAAATCCCCAAGGACAGATCCAATACAAGTGGAATTACGCACACACAACTCAAAATTAAGGGAACAAATTAGACAAAAACACAAAGCATCAAGCTTTTGAACTTATAAGGCTAATGGGATTTCACAAAAGTACATAATCTCACCATCATCCCAAAGAGTTAAAAACAGATTAAGAAAAAAAAAATCAAATAAAAATCCAATCTTGACTGATTAGTACAGAGTACAATAGGGAGGGAAAAGTGATCACTTCATCCGTCCATCACAACATCAAATAATACAAACTAAATCGATGACCGAAATTGGCCATGCACATCAATTTTTTCCATAAAATTATCGATTTTACTTATTCCTGATCACCAAAATTGGTTCAATATTTTTCTACCATAAACATCAAATCTTAATCGTACATCAATAAAGACTCTGAATTATCACTTACAAGAAGAAGGCGAAGCTGAGAAGGTGGTGATTTTTGTCCTTGTTCTGAGTCTGGAAGAGGAGGAAAAGATTTCTGTGGCCTCACACTGTAACTCTGTGCCCAGTTCATCGAGATAGTGGACGACTTCCAAAAGCTTTTTCTTTGGGTCAATCGAAAATATTTGTCATATTCCACGTTTCCACTAAAATACAATAATGTATACAAACAACCCCTCAATTGTTTTTTATTTATTCATTTACACCCTTAATCATCGATATTAATCACTATATAGCTCGAGTTCATTCACAGTTTCACACCATTTTACAACAATTTATACTATTTTGGTAACAATTAGTAGTTGTCTCGCGCAGTGCTGTAAAACAGGAGGTTAACAAAATATATTAGTAATTAATTTTAAATTCCATATCTTACATGATATTTTCTTTTGTTAAAAAAAAAATCAAATAAAACGAATGCCATTGTTTTTAACTTTTCTTCTGTGAGATCTTCCAACCAGTGCACATTAAAACTTGTATGTGAGGTCCTTTTTGACTGTTGTCATTCCTCTAATGTCGAAACTGAATGTAAAAAATCTTTACCCTAAATACAGATGGCAGTGCACAAATTTTTTTTTTTTTTTCTTAAATAATAGTAGCATATATGGTAAGATTTTATCTTATCATTTATATTATTTGTAACACGTACTGGGGGAAAAAATGAGTGCTACAAATATATGTTTTCTTTGTTTGGAGAGAAATTTTACAATTTTTTTACTTATTTAATTTTAACTAACCGAAACTTTAGAAATAATTAAATAAGATGTACATATCTTATTGTATCTTTGAATGTTTCGGGCAGATAACTGTGAGTTTTATTCTGATGTAACCTAGACACAGATTCAAGGTATCTTGACAGGACTTGGATATTGTGATCTATAAAGTTTGCAAGTTCTATTGTTGCAAATCGATAATAAAGTAACAATTGATCTACTCTTAAAGAATTTCCTTGAAAAAATTATGAAACATTATCAGAAATTGTTACTATTCTGCATTGGAGGAAATATCAAACTGCACATGCACTACAACAAAAGGGTTGAATAGGGACACTCTCAAATGTCCCATTAAGCTATTTATGGAGACGCATGCAAAATTGGGACACATGCAAATATGTCCTCCAGCACAATGTCATAATAGATCATTGAGACATATATTTGCGTCCCATTTAAAGCAAGCGTCCCAAAAAGAATTGAGAATGTTGACTGGTCAAGTTATAATTTAGGACTATTATTAGTGTCCTAACAATGTGATACATAATTGGACATTTCAAGAATGTCCCCTAAACTCATATATAATGAGACATGTCCAAATGTCCTAATAATGTTTTCTTTAACATGACATTAAATAAATGTCCCATTAACTAATACATAATGAGACATATTTAAGTGTCTTAACAATAATTTCTCTAAAATGACATTATTGGAATGTCACATTCACTCATTTACAATAGGATACATCTAATTGTCCCAATATTTTTGAATCTTAATGGGACGCAATAATAAGTCCCATAAACTAACGTGCGTTGGAACATTTTATAGGTTCCAAATGTGAGGACATTTTTTACAAGTGTCCCACCAAGTTTAATGCTGCCATAATTTTTAAATATCATGGTATTTTATTTTAATAATAATAATAATAAATTCCAAAATACTTAATGAAAGTATTCTTCAAATTGAGACATGAAGTGAGAATCTTCCATTTACATGAAGACTAACGTGCACAATCCAAAATGAATTACTAATAGATTATATCTATCTAAGAAAAGGAGACCTTCCATCTCTATGAATATTTCTTAACAAAGATAAAACAAAATCTCTACCCATTCAAAACAAAACCAAGTCACCATGTCATTCTTGAGAGCACCTTCAGTAATAACCTAAGCACAAAAACAACACTAAGCATAATTAGATATCACAAAGAAATACATGCCTTGCTGAATTAAACTCTAAAAGCATGATTACCACTATTGATCAAGAAGAACATAAATCAAGAATGACAAAGAAATACATGCCTTGCTGAAATTAAACTCTAAAAATATGATTACCACTACTGATCAAGAAGAATATAAAACAAGAATGACAAGAAAGAATCTGTAACTATAAACAAAAGGTAACATACACAGGTTGTTTATGTCTCTATCATAACAAAGATATTGAAATCACTACTTTTTTAAATACTGCAAGTAGCCATTCCATATCACTCAAAATCACTACTTTTTAACTACTGCAAAAAACCTTCCATGTCACAAACATCACTACTTTTTTTTACATATACAACTTTTAACATAAGCTGTCAAATATAACATCACATGAACGAATGCTACACAAAGGAGAATCATAATTTTGTGCCTCTAAGAACACATCTATAATTAAGGGAAACTTCTTAAGGCAAGAGAAATAAAATTCATCTAGAGACATGAAACTCAAACAAAATAGACATGGACTAAATATAGATGATATAGTTATTCACCTCAACATAATTTAGACTTCCAGATGTATATGTTATACAGAAAAATCAAATGACCATGAAAAGCAAAGTTAATAACTAACCCTCTTAAGGATCTTCAGGATCTTCTTCATTATCCTCAACAATAACGGCAGGAACACCATCACGAGTCCAAATAATATCTTCATTCACTTGAAAACCAGCTTCAATATGACAAATTTCACTTTGCAAGTGTGTATCAACAGGTTTCAAGTGAATCCATTTCATAACATCTCCAACATTCGTAACTATAGCAACATGCCATCCCTTTTCACTAGGGTCTGCAACATAAAAAACTTGTTTTGCTTGAAAAGACAAAACGAATGGCTCATTGTGAGGCCTCAAATATGATAAGTTTACCAACGTGAAACCATCTTCATCTTGCTTCACTTTTTTCCCTGAGGATACCCAATCACAATCAAACAAGATAACTTTCTTGTGACTAGAATAATTCAATTCTAGTATGTTCTTTAATACCCCATAATATGCAACATCTACTACTGTAGGATTTTGGTCCTTAGTACTTGAGAAACTAGATGTTGCTGCACTGACAACCACCCCACTATTTTGAGATTTCCTTTTTGCTTCCAACTCTTTTGTGTGAAACCTAAGACCATTTACTAAAATACAGCTTATAACATTTTCCAATAGGATTCGGTCCTCTTGACAATACTTTTAGTTCAGCCAACATGGGATCATTATCATCGAATGAGTGAGCCTGCATATTCATATATAAACAGAAAAAGAAGATGATCAAGAAAAAGGGTATATTGCAGAATTAAAAATAGTTTTTTTGTCATTTACCTTTTCAGCAAACCAAGATGCGAAACTTTCACTATGAGTTTGTTCAACTTCATGCTTTGTAAAATGAGGATTTGTTCTCTTTACAATCTCATAATGTTCCCTGAAAATAAACTTGTATTTAAACCTCTATCACATTTATATAAACTTTAAAAATGTGAGGAGAAAAGAAGTGTTACTTACTGAATTAATTCCTTGAGTTGACTGCAATTGAAAAGCACATACTGGTGTGCTTTACGAAGTGTATCGGGATCCAACACTTTTGCATCCCCTTTTCCTTAGTGGACGACCCGGATTTGAGAAAATATTTAAATTCGTATCATCAACAGAAATGCCATCATCATTTCTATTCCTACGATTGAATCTAGTTTCGACGCCTTCAGCAAAATACAATGAACAAAAAGCCAAACACTCATCTGCTAGATATCCTTCTGCTATAGATCCTTCTGGTCGGCTTCTATTTCGAACATATGACTTCAATGTGCACAGGTACCTTAGTAATTACACAAGGAAAAAATTAGGTTCAGTAAACATGTATTTATAAAAATAAATAAATAAAATATTGACAATATTAATTATTTAGTTTAGTACCTCTCAATAGGATACATCCACGGATAATGAACAGGTCCACCAATTCTCGCGTCGGTAGCCAAATGTACACTTAGGTGAACCATGACGTCAAAGAATGATGGAGGAAACAATTTTTCTAATTGACACAATATTAAGCTAATGTCTTTCTCCATCTTGAATGTATATTCTGGATTGATAACTTTAGAGCACAATTCTCTATAATATTTACTCAACTTTATCAAAGGACCACGCACTGCCTTGGACAAAGTTTTTCTTAGTGCTATTGGCATGAGTTGATTCATCAAAATTTGATAGTCATGACTTTTAAGGCCCAAGACTTTTGGAGGCTTTGTTTGCACGCATCTCGATATATTTGATGCATAACCATCAGGAACTTTAACATCTTTTAAAGTCTTACAAAATAGCTCCTTCTCCTTTTTCTCCATGGTAAAGCATGCATGAGGAACGTAAAATTTATTTGAACCCTCTTCCACTTCAATTGGATGAAGCTCTTGCCGAATGCCCAACTCTTTTAAATCATGTCGCCCCTTTAAATGATCCTTGCTTTTTTTTTTTTATCCAAATTCAACAGTGTCCCCATAATACTCTCACAAACATTTTTTGTAATGTGCATAACATCAAGATTGTGAGGAAGCAAATGATCTTTCCAATAGGGCAAGTCAAAGAAAATACTCTTCTTTTTCCAACCATATGGCAAATTTAGATTGTCATCTATGTTTTTACCAAACTTGATTTCAACTCTATCCAAATCAGCCAAGATGCTAGAACCTTTCTGCCTAAGAGGTGGATTTCTAAATTCTTTCTTTCCATCAAATGGCTTTGCCTCTTTTTGGAATGGGTGATCTTTTTCTAGAAAACGACGATGGCTCATGTAACAATGTTTTCTACTATTTCTTAGCCATTTTGATTAAGTATCCTTGTTACATACGGGACATGCAAACTCTCCTTTAGTGCTCCATCCAGACAAATTAGCATAGCCAGGAAAATCACTAATACTCCATAATACTGATGCTCACATCTTGAAGTTCTGATTGCATGATGCATCAAATGTATCAAGACCAACATCCCATAATTCCTTTAACTCTGCTACTAATGGCTTCAAATAAACATCAATGTTATTCAACGGAGCAGATGGACCAGGTATGAGCAATGACATCATTATATACGGTTGTTTCATGCACTTCCATGGAGGCAAATTATAAGGAACCAATAAAACCGGCCAAGTACTATACACAGAACTCATAGTCTTTAAAGGATTAAAACCATCTGACGCCAAACCTAGCCTGACATTTCGTGGCTCTGTAGCAAAATCTGGATTTTTATAATCGAAATACT